TATCAAATCAACTCATCGAAAAATTTAAACACAGTAAACCAATTTTTTCAATATCGATAAGTAACCCTAGTAAAATGGTCTACACCACCCCCCACCTACCCCCACCAAGCCCCAAAAAACACTCCACGAAGGACTAATGGATGTTGTCCATAGGACACAAGGCATGTCACTCCAATTTCAACCGTTGTCATTTAGGTTCAATTTCACCATCAACCCCACTATCTATGGCAAAAGTAAATACATCAAATCGATTGCAATAAAGTGCCATTAAGGACTGTAAAAATACCTAAGTAAAAACTGAAAACTGCACTAAACGACAAAACAAAGTGTAAAAATAAATAAATTAAATATTGTAAAAAAAATAATTCTGCAATTGATAGCTATACAAAGGATACGTGGCTTTTAACAAGCACTACGAGTTATATAGGTGGCTCCCACACCCCATATCTTTAAATGTTCTGTTGGTGGGTCCCACAATGGAAATTTCAGTAGAGGTCACTCAGTTTTTTATTTGTTTTATATTGGTCACTCAACTTTATTTTGTTTAGACCATTTATTTTCAATTTGACAATTCCGTCATAATTATTAAAAAAAATTGTGAAATTCATAATTGACCAATCGAATTCATGATCGAATTTATATTCTGTTTCAGTTTAACCATTTATAATATAACAATTTCCAAAAGCTAACATGATTAATAATGTGGCCAATAAAATTAGTGAGTCAAATTATACATTTTGCTAGAAAGATATATTGAAGGTCCAAATCTTTCATTTTTTTATTAAAAGGGATATTTCGATTAAAGTGGCATATGACTTTCATATAAATAATGAATGAAAATGTTATTTGTAAATTTTTAAGTTTTGATAACAATTACTGATTCAATAGTTAAATTAAAAAAATCATAAGTTAGATGACCAAATTGAAATAAATTAAACTTTGATGACTGATTCGAAACAAAATTATAAGTTGGATGATCTCTAGCAAAAAATTTCCCACGCTACCTTGCTTAACAAACCCCACGTACCCAGCTATCCTTTCTTCTATATCTATCGAATATCGGTCTCCTCTTTTCATCCCTCAAAATCTCCTCCTCCTACTGCTGCCACCTCTCTCCGCCCCCAACCGCCGTACCGCCACCGCCAATGAGATGGTGGGACTGAGTGTATTACTAGAAAGCCAAGAGAATACTTCTAAAAAAGCTTCTCAAGTTATTAGCAAAGGAAAAATGATTAAACCTCTTAATTCTTCTCCAACTACTCCATCTCCTTGTGGGTTTTCAAGAAGAAATACTCTTCCAAATTCTGGATTTCTTGACCATTGTTTTCTCTGCAAACAGAAACTCTTGCCTGGCAAAGACATTTACATGTACAAGTAAGTAAACTTTTAAGTTAATAATCTCGAAAAACCTACTTATGAACAACTGAACAAGAGCCAGGCTTTAACCTACCCTATATTCATCACACAGACACAGTAATAAGTTTTCATATATGCATTAGACATACACACACAAAGGGAAAAAAAGAAAAAAGAACAAAAATCATATTTAGAATACTTCATAGTATAATAACAAGATTTGGACTTTTTTTTCCAATCATCTAGTATATAATATAATGGATGAGTCAATGAGATTTTATCATTTTAACTTATTGTCTTCTCAACGTACCAAATATACATATCATATGTGTGAGATCTCAAGAAATATTATTTTGTAACATGCATTTTTTTATGTTAGTTAAATAGGGCTTCGATTTGAGTGAAAAATATACTAAAAATATTATGAAAAACACTGTTTGATGCAGAGGGGATAGAGCTTTTTGTAGTGTGGAGTGCAGGTGCAGGCAAATATTCATGGATGAAGAAGAAACGGTAAAGAAGAGTAGAAGAGACAACTGTTCAATGGCTGCTATAAAACCTCGAGTGCCTTCTTCGGCGTCGTCGTCATCATCATCTTCGACTACGAATCGAAGTGGCAAAGCGCCTAGAAATGGAGCAAATGCCTTTGCATACTGAAGTTATTTTTCCACTTTTGCCCTTGCCACATTTTGGTTATGACTATGATGTCATCCTTTTTGGGTTTTGTTCCTTTGCTACCTATAATGAAGCCAAAGAGGTTATGTAGTCTATTCAGAGCCCGTGGGATTTGGTTTCCCAGTATCAAGAATCCATTGTTTTTGGGACCCTATAATACAGGAGGACAAAATGGGGAATCTAAGATTTTATC